ATCGGATTCTTCCATGCGATGGCCGATGGGACGAGAGGCAGTGAAGTCACGGTTCATGAGCAGCTAGCACTAGCACCTAGCAGTTGTTGGGCGAGCGAGATCAGGGGTCACAGCTAGGAGACGAGCCCGGCGCTGGATTTCTCCGCGGACCCGCGGTAGCCATCGCTGAAAGCTCGAATCGCACATCGCCTGGTCCTCCTCCAAGGCTGCTGCATGGTCCAGCTCCAGCGGTCCAGCCCGAGCATGAGGACGTAGAAGCCAAACGAGTCAACAGATTACATGGCTGCGTCCTGCGAGCGTGACGATCGACGTACGGTCTGCATGAGAAGTAGACGCGGGAAAGTGAAGGATGGGTGGCAATGCAACGTGACAGGAGGAGCTACGTACTGGTGCCCAGTGGGTCAGATGAGTGATGGGCAGCTCGAGCTAGGAGAGGTAACAAAAGCATTTAAGATAGGAGAAGAGACTAGATTGTTGTATAGCATGACTAATATGTTTGTTTCTTGCTGACTTGGCTTGGCTTATAGCCTAGCTTATTATACTTGCTCTAATCTATCTAACCGACGTGCCCAGCTGCTGTCTGGTCTGACAGTCTTGAGTGAGCAACGACGGGGATTGAGGTAAGGTTGGACAGCAGGAATGTTCCATCTCAGTCTCAGAGGAGAAAATTGAATATTTGACACCCAATCTGCGCGTATGTGAGCATTTGACATCCAATTCGCACGCCGTTGAAAATTTAATGCGAATTCGTTGAAAGCAAATGTTTTCTTCTTCTTTTTTCCATTCAACATTTTTTCTATTTTCTTTTGGCCTCCAAGGCAAGGCTGCATGACCAAAATACCCATTAGCCTTATCTCTTTATGGAACGTATCTGTTGGATGAGAAGCATTACATTCCTTCCCTCTATCTCTCTCCTGTTTCTCTCTTTCTCTCATTGCCTCCTCTCTCTCATGAGTGAACAGAAGCTGCTAGGGTTTGGTCCTCGGACTGCAGGAGGAGCTTTGGGTGGCCGGATCAGGTCGGCTATGATCCCCTTCGAGGTCCCCCCAGGGTAAGAACGTAGATCCCTATCCCTCCCCTGTCCTCTCCAAGGTTGCTTTTTTGGATTTGGGGGAGAAGCATGGCTGATGCTCATGATTATGTTCTCTCTCTTTTTTTCAACTCGGTAGGGTCGATCCGGATGGGGCATTTAAACTATGTGTTCAGCTTTCACCTTTCACAGCAAAACTAGATAATGCCCACGCCCAGCACCCCGCGACCGGCCCAATGAACGCCCAGCCAGCTGCGGTGCCTCCTGCACCCAGCGGCGGTGGGCAAGGGATGGAGAGTACGGGACCCAGCGGCTGCGGCACCCAGCCGAAGAAAACAGAGTACGAGATGCGTTCGTTCTCAGAAGAAATGGATGGACAAAGGCCAAGGGTACTTTGGTCATTCAGCCTTGCCTTGAAAGCCAAAAGAAAATAGAAAAAATATTGAATGGAGAAAAGAATGAGAAAACACCTGCTTTCAACGAATTCGCATCCAGAGTGTTAAATTTTCAACGACGTGCGAATTGGATGTCAAATGTTCACGGGCGCACAGATTAGGTGTCAAATATTCAATTTTCTCGTCTCAGAGAGGCTGGAGCAGTGGAGCACTATATTATGGTCAAGGTTAGATGTGGAAACAGATTTGGTTGCACGATGCCTTTTATGCTGGTCAAAAAGAGAGGCTTATTAGGCAATGACCCCAATATTGCAAAGGCTACTAGGTTAATGAAGTGTTCGGCTGTCATTATAAGTTGATTTATAATCTATGGTACAATATTTTTTTTTCACAATAAATTAATTATACAAATCAGCATAAACAGCTTTACGAGCATCCGCATGGAGCCTAACGCCGATTCTTGCCTCCAGTTCACCACTTCTTCTAGAAGTAGAACTGTCTAGACAAATGGAGCCGGCCGGGGCCCCGCCACACAAGAAAGCAGCAACAAAATCCGGCCCGCCCCGTATATACGTGTTGAAATAGCGCGTAATGTTCTTTGACCTTAAAGCGATTAGTGAACGATACGAGGCTGGTTGAAGAGACCCTCCCGGACCGACACCGACCACGCACCGTGACCACGAGCAGCAGAGACCGGAGCGAGTGGTTCCAGCGGCCTGCACGGTCGGTCCGCTCGATTCGAAGGCTCCACAGCCACAGAGCGCGCGGGGGAGGGCGACGGACCCGCGCCGGCACCGCACACAGCAAAACCATTCGGGCCGGGCGGGCAGCAGCGACAGGAACGCGGTGCGAGTCCGCAGGCAGCGTTTTGGTTCGTTTGACCCGGGGACTCGTTTCTCCGGCCGCGGCAATGATTAACCCCGGGCAAAAGGAGGTCCTCCCGGTGGCGACCGCACGCTGGAAGTGGAAGGAAACGGAGGGATGGAATGGAACACACGGGTGCTCCGTATTTTTTATTTTTCAGTCCTTTTTTTTGAAAAATATTCATAAATAGGTCTTTAATTTTTGTTTATGGACTCAGACATCGGCGTCACGATCAATGACGCCGAGGTCTTAGCGAGGCATCGGACGTGGCGGTGATCGGCGTCGACATTGACAAGGCCTCGGCACAATAGATCTTGACGTCGACATTGATAAGGGCATATTTATGAAAAACTTTAAAAAACAAAAAAATAAAAATTCGGATGGCCCCCCGCCCCGGATTCGGCGATCTTCCCCGGTCCGGCGCACCGCCACACCTCACCCGCTGGTGTGGTGCCCCGTGATGTGGCCGCACGAAGCCAGGGGAAGGACAAGGACGACACGCACCACCAGTTACGCACGAAGCCGCTGATTCAGCATTATTCATCGAGGTCGCAATGCAGTGTGAAACCGTTACGAAGCTTTGTCCGATCCACTGGCCGCTTGTCGATTCATCCGGCCTTAATTACCTTACCCCTGCCTTCAAAATGTTAAATGTGACAGCCACAGTCAGCAGAAAACCACCAGTTCCATGGGGGTAATCAATTCAACACCTTATCACCAGAATCCAGAACCCCCAACAGGCTAGGACAACAAAGCTTGGTCGCAACCATTCGGAACGACACGTAAAACAGGAGGCGCGGCTCAAGTTTCTACTAGTACCTACAAAAATGCGAAAGGCATTGACTCGGCAGACGGCAGAGGCCACAGCGACCGGCAGCGGCAGGCACAGGTCCCTCTCCGCCCGCCTTCAACAAAAGTCCCGTGACGACGCCGGCGGAAAAGCACGAGCGCACCAGCAGCTTTCTCACTGCTTCCACTTTCTGACCTTCGTTCATGCACCTACCAGTGCATGCTGCTTTTGACAATTTGACTCGTATCTAGATTTTCAGAGGGAGTAAGAGCGGTGTTTAGTTCACTGAATTTGGGATTTTGGGATACTGTAGCACGTTCGTTTTTATTTGACAAATAGTGTTCAATCATGGATTAATTAGGCTCAAAACGTTCGTCTCGCAATATCCAACCAAACTGTGTAATTAGTTTTTTTTTATCTATATTTAATGTTTCATGCACGTATCGCAAGATTTGATGTAATGGGTACTATAGCACTTTTTTGGATTTTGTGTAGCAACTAAACACGCGCTAATGCTCTCTTTCAAAAAATACTGCATATTTTTACTGCCCGGAGTACTAGGCTGGTACGGCGAATAGCCTTGACAACGAGATCGGCTGCCTGTACAGTGCAGAGAGCTGCAGAGAGCACTGCTGCGCAGTCACGGCTCACGCGGCGCAGGACAGGGTTACGGCAGAAGCCAGCGATGGCAAGTGCTACTACCTCCGTGTCAGAAAGATGGGTTGCGTGCCACGCGAGTGATTCAGGTTTAATTATTTTTTTAGTAAATAACATTACTTTAAATTAATTTATTATAAATATATATTTCATAATTAATCTAATAATATTTATTTAATATTATAAATATTTATATTTTTTATCTATAATTATGGTTTTTTCGTTTCGTCGTAAATAATCATAAATTATTAACTGCTTAATTAGCTAAAATACCGATCCAGCTTATAATAAGAAAGCGAACAGCTGTAGTCCACTGTTTCAGAATTGTGCGGACGGAGGGAGTACTAGGCCCGCGGGCCACGACGGACGCGGACGCGACAGAACAGGAGAGGCAGAGGCGATCGCATCTGCGGCCCACCGGCAGGGATGGGACAGCTGCTGCACGGGGTCAAGGCTAGGTTGTCCAAGTCAATGCCTGCCGCGTTTTCTTTTGCTTTTCCTTTTTTTCTCGGCACAAGCATCTTCCTCTGGTTGGACACCACTATTCCGAGCCATGCTTCTGCTCGCGACAGAACGAGCTAACTGTACATTTTTCTCATCGTTCCACAAGGAGCAAGATTTGACACTTTCGAATGTTACAAGACGATGAGACTGCGTGAAATCCCAGGCGTAAAATTTGACTTGACACGGTCATTTTTGGTTTGGTCAGTTACGGCGTTTCGAACGTTAAGATGTTTAATATTTATGTCTCTATATATATAAATATATTTATTATAAAAAAATCTATTGTATAATTATTCTATTGATATTTACTCACCATTTTAAATGTTAGTATCTTTTTAGATTCGTTCCAAATGAAAAGTAGTTTTTTTTTTCCAGAGAGTGGGTTCATCGTATAAAGATATACCAAAAAACAGCGGAAACTGCACATAGAAGAATAGTGCACGAAAGACAGTGAGTCATGAGACGGAAACTGAAACAGAAAGCCAGCAAGAAATCCTTTAAAAAACAACAAAATCTGTGATGAGAGAGAAGAGGAGAGAGGACTGACCGCATCAGGCAGGATAGGCTAGGCTAGAGAGAGAAAGAGAGGAAGAAAGCATCCACCCGACCCAGGCCCACGCCAACTATACATCACCTCTAACCTCCTCTTCTTATTCCCACTCCCTCTCGCCTCCCCACTTGACCCCTCTCTTCTCTCCCGCTCTTCCCTCTCCGTGAAACCAACGCCCCCCAGCGCGCGCACGAGAGAGAGACACCGCGAATGGAAGTTGCTGCGGCGAAGCAACTCCTCCCCATGGCGCGGGGGGCGCCCAACTCCCCGTCCTCCTCCACCTCCTCCTCCTCGCCCTCGTCCGCCGCCGCCTCCCCGTCGCCGCGCCAGCAGCAGTCCCGGTACTCCCAGGCGCCCGTGCCGCCGTCGCCCAAGCCCGTGCCGCGCATCATCGACACCACGCCGTTCCCCACCACCTTCGTGCAGGCCGACGCCGCCAACTTCAAGCAGGTCGTCCAGAGCCTCACCGGCTCCGACACGCCGCCGCCGGTTGCGGCGGCGGCGGCGGCCCAGAAGCCCGCCAAAAGCCACGGCCACCACCACCACCACCACGGCGGCAGTGGCCTCGGCGGAGGCCCCAAGAAGCCGGCCTTCAAACTCTACGAGCGCCGGATCGGCAAGAACAACCTCAAGATGATCGCGCCGCTGGCGATGGCGGCGGCCGCGGCCGCGGGCGCGTCGCCGAGGAAGGCGGGGGCGGGGGCGGCGCCGGAGATGCTGTCGCCCAGCGTGCTCGACTTCCCGTCCCTGGCGCTCGGGAGCCCCGTCACGCCGCTGTTGGCCGACCCCTTCAACCGGTCGCCGGCGTCGGCGGCGGCGTCCCCCGGCGAGGAGGACGAGGCCGCCGCCGAGCGCGCGGCCATCGCGCGGAAGGGCTTCTTCCTGCACCCCTCCCCGAGGGCGGCCGAGCCGCCGCGGCTGCTGCCGCTGTTTCCCGTCACGTCCCCCAGGATGGCGCCCTCACCCGCCGCCGCCGCCGCGGCGCCGTCGCCGTTGCAGTGATCGGAGAATTCCTAGTACCGCGTGAGATACTTGTTGTTTAATTAACTCCTTGGTGCGTGATGTAATTTTTGCTCTTGGTATCTCCACTCTTGAGCGATCGCGAAGAAACGGAAACAAAGATCACACTATTGAGCTTCTTCTCCTGGCGCTCTCTGCTGTTTCTACTACAGTACTTTCTAATCTACTCTGCCATTGACGCGCTCCATTTACTTTAGTTACTCCACCAGAAACAACACCAAAAAAGCTTCCTTTTTGTCAAGGGAGAAACGACGCATGCATGATCTCGTCGAATTCTTGCAGTTTTTAGACGTCTTCCTGATCTAGCAGTCTGACAGGGACGGAGTTTCTGACGAGCAACTATAGTGATTTCTAGAGTCACAGAGCTCGAAACGAAGCTGAAAACACACAAAGGGAGATGATCTGTAGAATTTGGTTTGTGTTTCGGCAGTAGAACAATCTCTTTACTTTAAAAAAAAAAAGAAAACGAGAAGAGACAAGGGTGATACTAATTAGTCAGTCAACAAAGCATTAATCTGCGGCGGGCAACAATGGCATTTCCACCTAGCAGCATCTATCAGGCAGCAGTGGTTGGCCGGTCCAGTTGACCATCTCGCCTTGGGAGTTGTGGTGCGCCGGCAGCTCGCGACCGATGCCCGCCACTCCTGGCACCCTTTGTACTGCAGCAGTCGCTCGGCACTGCGTGGGCTGTGGCCGTGGTTAGGCTGGACGTAATACTCCTCGTCAACTCGCTCGAACTCATGTTCGATTCTGCTCGACTCGTTCGAACTTTTTCACGAGCTAAAGTCTAGCTTTTATTTTAACGAACCAACTCGTGAGCTGTTCAAAAGCTCAAACGAGCTGAGACTTATCAGCCTACGACCATGTCCAGAAGATGATGTCGTTGATCTAGAAGTGTACATCTATTCTATTGATATGTAATCCTTATTTTCAGCTTGTTTTGATATGAATTTTGATTTTATAATTGTTGTGGTACCTAAATATTGATTTATGGATTGTTTTCTAGAGAGAACGTGATGATGCTGACATTGATTTTGTGGACTTTTCTGAGCTTGTTGTGGCAAGCAACTAGTAAGTATGCTGGAACTGTATGGATCATGAATGTACCAGCTATGTTGTATGGTTGATACTTTTGATGAACCTAATATGTATTAATCATATATAGTTGCATAATGGTGAACGTCACTTTTAAAATTATTATGACCTGAACGTTATAAACATGTGTGTCCTATTTATTTAAGTAACTCACGAGCTAAACGAGCCAACTCGAACTCGCCTCTATGTCTCGTAATATTAACGAGCCAACTCGAGCTTTACCGAAGCGAGCTGACCTGCCTCGATATTCAGCCCTAGCCGTGGTCTCACACTCACCTGTTATCACAGTATACTAGCACTAGTGGAGTAGAGTAGCTCTCAATTTCCTTTTAATTTTTAGTTTTTTTGCCTTTTTTTTAGACGTAGACCTCTGAATTTCTGATACACCAGGAGTATGTAGCTGCACAAATGTCAATGAAAGAAAGATGGAGAGCGCAAAAAAAAAAAAGGAAAAACAGAAAGGGATAGAGACCATTCCTCCAACACGGAGGGCCGTGGGGCCCAGACGGTGGACCGTTCAGACCAGCTGTCCGGACTCCGGAGTAGAATGGACGCCACGGAGAGTGGCAGGGATACGTCGGTTCATGCAGTCCACCACGCTCTCTCTCGCTCCCAGTCACGCCTCGTTTTCGCTCGCCGTCTCCTTCCAACGACCCGTGAAGGCCGTGACCGCGAGCGGGGCCCTCCTCCGTCCCTGCGCTGTGGGGCCCAACCCAACTCGCATGCAGCGCGGTTCGCAGCGACCTCTAGACGCGGACCGGCGGTAGCAGCTGGTAGTGGTAGACCGGCCGCCGCCGGCGTGCTTCGTCGATCGGCCTGCTTCGTCGTCTCGCGGCCGCCAACGTCTCTCGATCGGTTTCTGAACTTCCTCCGGTTGTTGCGTTGGGCGTCGCTTTCACAGGGAAGTGACGGGAAACTTGGCCGTTTTCTCGTCTGCGGCGGCTAGTCAATGCGGTAAACCGCAAGCGGTGGAAGCTTGTGCAGTGTCTTTGGGAGATGCTACAACCACCCCTGTTGACCTGCGTGCACACTGATGAGACTGTAGCCTGTAATTTCATCGCTGTGCTGTACTGTTCAGTATAGTCTGAGACGTCTAGTGAATTGAAGGACTGACTAGCAGGCACCTTTACATGCATTCAGACGAAGAAAGACGCCTGAATGAATCGGTACAGCCGGTGGCCAAGAGGGACTCGAACACCCCACGCGCTGATCGATGGATCGGACTGTTAATTAGAAAACGTCTTTGTAGGACTGTTCCTTTCGTGAGCCGGTCATTCAGGAAGCTGCCAGTAAGCTGAGTTTAAAGGCTAATGGCGTGTTTGGGACCGCGTTTCTTGCGGCGGCGGTGAAAACAATCCGAGAATCGCGCCAAACGCTCCCACGGTGCCATGATTCTTTTTCCCGCACACGGCATCGGAACTACACAAATGATCTAGCGCATGTGTTTTCAGCACCGCAGCCCTCGCGCCACGATACACGTACCGCACCGCGTGGTGGGTAACCGCGGTCCCAAACACGCCGGTGCGATGTCTTGCCATCACCTCAATCAAAACCACGTTTGATTTCGTAGGACTGAAGAAAGTTACACGCACTTGCATCCATCCATCCATCCTTTGGACTTTTTGTACGCCACCTTTTTCTCTGCAATTGTTCTACTACGATCTCTCCTTGTCAGGAACGGACTACGCGCGGAAAAGTAGATGGACGCGAGAGCCAGTAATACGCTAGTTTGTGTTTGTCCTGTCGCTAGCTCCTCCGAGCTAGTCCGAGAGCTAATGTATAAGGAAATGGCTCGCAACAAGGCTGGCTTCTTCGTTCTCCGACAGCGACAGCGGCGATCGGCCATAATCTGGGTCAAGTTGAGCAGGTGAATCCAATCCAAGCTGCGTTTTTGTTGGTTAACCGATGGATTGATAGATGGGAGCTCTGAACGTTCTTGCAGTGAACCGAAAGGTCGGCTAAGGCTGCACGCACGCCAATAGGCCAACGTCAGAACCGAAGATAAGGAAGGAATCGTCGTTTAAATTATGATCTGATGGTGACATGTACAATGTGGAGAGCTTGGATACTGGCGATGCCGAGGCAATGATTGAACGCTGCCTTGGTGCCATTGACTGTTGAGCTAGCTAGCCTGTAACCTGCACTGGCATATCCGCGCACACATCAAAAGAATACATCGCATTTCAGTTCTTTTTTTTGAAACATATGTAATGCATCGCCTTTCTCCGACGGAAATATCAGGCGCCACATGACTGTATCGCTCGTCATCGCGTACTGCTGCAAGGTCAAGCTAAAGGTACTGGAATGATTCTGCTCATCTATCGAATTTGATGCGGTCTTAGTACTGAAGAGTTCAGTGATGAATGCGTCAGGTCCAATGTACGCATAGCGTGTATTGAATTGGTGTACTATGTAATTCAGGGTCAACTGAGCACAGCGGGGATTATTTCAAACCCAGACGTACGGTGCTATGCGTCAGTATAGAATTGATGTGATTGATGATCAGAGTCAACTGAACATGGCAAAGATTACATCAAACTCTGATTTTTAAATATGTATAGGAGTATGCTCTTCTTGTTTCGACAGCGGCGTGTCCGAAGAACGTTCGCATTATATTTGGTTTTTGTCGCGCCAATATTTTACCGGAAGAAAACTGGCAGGTAATTACGATGTCAGCTGTCCAATGACCTCTCTAATCGTAGATTTTTTTTAATAAGGGTAACTAATGTCTCGAACTGGTCAGGTCTACATCTGCCTCCGGGAAAATGGAGGCAACAACTAGTGCAAGTTTCTTATCGGAGCAGCTAGCGACGAAGAAAAACCGTAAACGTTGTCTGCTGCTATGCCTTTCAAGTTGGGCAGCGTGTATTGCAAGATCACTTTACGCTTATTTTATTTTATAGACCGTAATGTAGTCAATACGTTCACAACGATTCTCGTCGTATCAAACTGGCAAGCAGCACGCACGTCTCTATCAGAAAACAGCTTGCATTAATTCTCAAGTCATGTCTGAACACCAAGCAAAAATTCATATACAAATCGGTGGCTAATCTCTTCAGCTTCCTCTGCTATCCTATGGACAAACAATATTTGCATGGACAGATATATGTATTTGCTGCTAGTATATTCCGAAGCAGTGCTGTTAGTTGTAATTTGTCGAGTGCACTGCTGACCGGTTCTTCTTCAGTTGCAAACTACCTGCGGGCAGTACGTACGTTGCTCGTCAGTTTACCTATATAAATTTTAAATCGCAGCTAAGATTATACTAGACCAACTTAAACAACTTTAGTAAAAAAAGTTGCATGGAAGATTGGAAGGTAGAGAGGGAGCTGCCCTATTCTGAACGAAACTGCAGGGAAGGTAACAACTGCTCTAGGGGTCCCAAGTTGCAAGCTGTCGGGTCGCAGTGCAGCACTGAAAGTCCAAAATGTCGGTTAGCTAGCATGGGCGCGCTTGGATTACGCGCCTTTAAGCAGGGAATCATGCCCTAGATGGAGTGACTAATTGTTGATTTGTTGTGTTCGTGCGTTGTCTCAGCCTCTCAGGGAATTGACGCGCGACACCTGTCGAGCTACAGCTTCAGGTGAAGCTTCCTTGTTTTGGATGCGCACTGGGATACGGACTAAGTGCCTGCAAATCAAATCCACACGGATTCTAGCACATGATTATAAGTACCCAGCTGGAGTGCTGGACTGAGGTGCTTCGTCGGTGTTCACAGTTCAAAGCCAGGATCAATCAAATAATGAAAAGACTGATGAATAACTTGATTTGACATACACATGCAAATTCAGAGACACACATGCGCCTAATTCATGAGGAAACGGGCACATCAATGGTCTCAATCGGCCCAACGTGCGGTCCTACGAGGCCTGCTACGGCAGCACCAT